GGGGGGGTTGCTAATCAGCTTTGCATCTGTACAGAAGAATGGAAGTGCACATTTCTTTCAGGTGGAATTGGAAAGCAATGTCTTAGTTCTGATGTACATGTATTTTATAAGGATAGATAACGACTGGAATTTATAATTTTATAAATATTTAAGCTCAAAATCATGAAGATCCAGCTTTGTCATGCTCTTAGGAATACTGAGCGCTACTTTCATGAAAACTTTGAGGTCTGAAAAGTGTGTGATTTCCTCTAAAAAGTGGTACAAAGATCAGGCCTTCAGAATTGTGTAATAACTGGTCATATTTTCAGTGAATTTTACTTTTTCGTATCCCTCTTTCCTTCATCGGAATCCTTGAAACATGTGGGATGTGACCTTTTGACCTTTTGACCCCTTCATGAATAGTTCAGTATTTCCCCTCAGAACTGTGTAAAGTCTCAATAGAGAGGGCTTCAATCCTGGAATTTGTTCTCTTTCTTTTCCTTCAGTTGAAGAAAACGCTGAACAAGTGGACCATATATCGCAGAGACTGTCAGAGCTACAGGAAGAACTGTTCGTGTCCTTGAAGGAGGACATCGCTGAATGGATCGTTAAGACCCTCGGTAAAGCAGCATTTATGTCACAGCACGGTGGAATCAGGCACTCGTCAATTTGGGGGCATATGGAGTTATTAATAGACACTTAAAGCCGATTCATTTGCCTTGCTTTGGATAAAAAAGCACCCTTCCATCATAGTGGAGATATTTGTCCTTGAAGGAGGTGGGCGTCGCCTGCTTTCAGAAATAGAATAAGTGAGAAAATAGCTGCCAAAGTTTTATGACTGACACTGACACTGACTCTGACACTGACACTGACACACACTGACACTGACACTGACACACACTGCCACTGACACACACTGCCACTGCCACTGCCACACACTGACACTGGCACTGACACACACTGACACTGACACACACTGACACTGACACACACTGACGCTGACACACACTGACACTGACACACACTGACACTGACACACACTGACACTGGCGCTGACACTGACACTGACACTGACAGAGCTTGAGAGTCCTTGGAAACTGGAAATTTACGTTTTTTTGTGGCCTTTAATCAATGTTTTTCTGTAAAATCCCCGCAGAAATAGATGTGTTTTTAAATGGACATAAAAGGTGCGCCAGTTTATGGAGGGCCAATGGCCCAACCCTGTCAAAACTAGATGTAAAAGAAGTTACAGAGGCACAAGTAGACACATTTATTGAGAATGATGTACAGAAAAGTGGGAAGACATGGAATAACATCAAGAGACTAGCTCAGGATAGGGACAGTGTTTGTGTGTGGTGAAAGCCCTGATCCAGGGGGAGAAAGGCAGCGATGGTGATTAGGATGATGATGGTGGTTATTTTTTGTGAAACATGACCAGCCTTCCTTTGGTGTGGTCGTGAGTGCTTTATCGGGTGAAGAAAGGAGTAAATTCGAGAAACCATTATGTTCTGCAGGTGATGTGGACATCAGTGCTGAAAATTTCATTCAAGACCTTGACAACGGAGTAATTCTATGCAGGCTCAGCTTGGCCATTGAGAAGAAAGCAAAGGCTATGCATCAGCAAGGGAGTCTCACTGAGGTAAACTTCTCCGACACTGCTTTCTTTTTTTCTTTTTGTAAGTGTTTTACGGCGCTCGCAACTCCATGAAGTCATACGAGCGCGCTTGACACCTTCAAGATGTTCAGTTGGTAGTTGTTCGGGTAGTGGCCGAAGCCTACTCTTATTGATTTTAGGACCACCAAGGGATCTTCAATGTGCGCTACTTGCACTCTGGACTTTCGAGATCTTTCACCCATGTCCGAGAAAGCTAGATGTAGATCTTTCCTTCCAGAAGATGAGGGGTGTGGCTAAAAGACAGCAGTAAGAAGGAGCCAAGCGGAGACAAGTATAGAGAAGAAAATGTTCCGTCACTATCCGGATTTGAATGTGGGACCTACCAAAGGAGAGGCGAACAGCTAAACCTCTAGACCACGAGAATCCAACACCTTAACCTCTAGACCACGAGAGGCCAACGCCTTAACCTGTAGACCACGAGAGTCCCCCCCCCTCCCCCACCCCCTCCCGCACTGCGAGCACGTTGGTTTTGTTTACTGTCATTTAACATGAAACAAGATTTGCTGATTTTACTTTTTCTCTTTTCATTTTGATTTTGTT